AGACCAAAAGAATTGTGTGGGGTGAAATTGAAAAAAATAGTACCACAAGAAGATCTGAAGAAATGACTTGACAAAGACACTGTTAAACAACAGAAGAAATGTGCACACAGTTTTGAATTTAATTTAGAATAAATTTAGACACCACCCCTTCATTCTTTCTGGTCTGTCCCTAGCTGACACAAAACTTGTTTTAAAGGCAAGCTGACTTCTGGTTTCATGTGCAAAAAGCTTGACATTACAAGCTGTAGTAATGCATTAAGAACATACAAACCTCAATGCTATAAGCACTACTCTGCCACAATATCCAGTATCGTTCCTTACTTAAGCTGTCCATTCTTCACCATAACTACAGTGCATTGACGTATGCATGGGATATTCAGAACATTGTACAAATTCTCGCTCGTCGGCCAAAAGCTCATCTTCTGGCTGACGTATCTGACAACAACACATCTCTATTGGGAGGAATCTTACAACAGGTGAGATGGGGAGACGGGTACATTTGTAGCAGGGGAGACTTCTGATATGACACTGTGGCGGCGCAGGGATCAGAAAATCTTAGAAAACTCGGCAACTGTGGCTGTCCAGCTGGTTACTGGAGAAACGTGTGCCACCTTCACTGGTGCTAGGCTAGGACTGGGACAGTTTGTTGGACTGTGGTTATACAGAGAAGCGATTTTTTGTTGTGGAGCCGCTTTTGGACATTGTGTCTGTGTGTGCCTGTAGGGGGGAAAAGAGAGAAGATATTTCAACTTTATATGCAATAATGAGCTAATCAAACTGTTTCCAAGAAAGTAACTTACAACTTTACACATATTTATTAGTTTATTTTGGACTGAAAACATGGTTCTCCTGCAGTACCAAGGAAAGCTACCAGGGAGTCCAAAACGAAATTTCATAACAGCATCTCGAGTCATTGTGCTAGACCACATTATTCATACATACATACATACATACATAAACAAAAATTGAACTGCCCAGTGCCATGCATGTACAAATTACAATTACACAATTCCTTATCAGATGAATCCAAGAAAGATAATATTTTTAAGCTCAATTTTAGAAAGGGGAAGTGCTCACCTGGTAACCAATGACAAACTTAGGGGGAAGGTTTAGCCTCTCTTTGAACTTTCGACTGCAACAGAAACAAATAAAAATTCAATTAGTATCATATCTCTTGCTTCAGTTAAAAATCCTTTAACAAATTCCTGCATTCAAACACAAATGATTTCATCACTTCTCCATTAGGTTATGGTTTTCCCAACTTCATTTAACAGATAAAAAATATGCAAGTTGCAAGTGAAAATATACAGCCAACTTGCAATTTTTCAGTCTCAAAACCATCAGGCTTTGTATCATTGAATACAACTAAGGTTAGACATCCAGGTAATGAGACAAACAAGAAAACAGTTACTCAAGCAACTGGACAGATTTTCAAAATCTAGCTGCTTGAGTAACTGTTTTTACATACTAAAAGTCAACTTTAATACTACTTACTTGTGCTTATTGAGTAATAGCAGAATTTTTTCCAAATTGCGAGTAAAATGTTGCCCATATGGAAAGTTTATAAAGCCCCTGCTTACCAAATATTTTCACAATAGCTGGTCTATATGATTCTGAATGTTTGGAGAGAACGTCAACAAACTTACCCGATTCTTATGACAGCCTCGGAGTTTTTACAGTCGTGTGTCCAGATTGCAATCTTGTCCCCTTTGCTGCGAACGTTGATGACGGCACCGCACACTTCGTCTGAGTCCTCCTCAAAGGCTTCTCCAATTAAACACAGCAGCTGGGAGAATCACAGTACGTAGGACAAGTCATCATAATGTAATAGACAGAGAGGACAACAGTCGTGTGACGTAGCAGTAGTGTGTTCAGCCCAGGCCCAAGAGGTCCTGGGTTCGAATCCTGCGCGGTGTCACTGATCTTGTGCCCTTGGGAAAGGTACTTTACATGACTTTCCTCACTTCATTCAATGAGTACCTAGCTTCAGTTAGGGACGTCCCTCGGATAGGACGTTAAATGGAGGTCCCGTGTTTGGGACAGCCACACCCCACGCACGTTAAAGAACCCACCGCACTTATCGAAAAGAGTAGGGGTCCTTCTCGGTGTGAGCGGTTCAAACCTTACAGTCCGGTTTCAGGTTTGACATCTTGAAGAGGTGATTCCACAAATGTGGTATATCTTCATAAAATAAATAAAATTAAAAAAAAACAACTAAAGGAGGCTGTTTGGATAAGAAAGTCAACCCCAGTGATGAACCGGGACGAGGGGGGATACAAACCTAGCCATGTTTGGGATTGTGTTCTCACCACAAAAGCGCCACCTACATCAGCTACATATAGTGACAAGCAGTAGTAACAAGGACTGTGGAAGGTGTCTGACAGACTTATAACATAACACTCCAATATCCATTATATTTAACTTACAGTTTCCAACCAAAATCTGTCCAGGTCTGAGTGGCGCTGCTGCTTCTGTATGTTGATGAGCCAACGCCCACCCGTCTTGTTGAAGGGATCTTCCCACATGGGTTCAACTCCATCCTGGGAATCAAACCAACGACAGGGGGATCAGAGATGGCTGGCTTCACAACCTTACCCATTATGCTTTGTGACCCTTTCAGGCCCACAATACAAAAAAAGTATGGCAATGTAGCATGTTACATTGGGAATTCCAAGACCACACACACATACAAGCAAAAAAAAAATTTGAGGTGAGAAAACTACATATAACATGTACAATCTTAAAGTAAAAAGTCCATCAAGATGTGCAGATGCAACCCAATGATAGCAAACACAAATTTCAAACACTGATAGAATAAAGGGTGCTATTGAATTCCTCTATTAAACTAACTCACCTTGAAGAGGGAGTAGTCACATCCAGACTGCAGTCTGCTGGCTACTTGTATATGATTGTACAGGCTAGAACAAAGAAAAAACATGGCAGTCAGAAATAGAAGACTATACATACACTACACATACAACCTCCCAAAAAACAACTTGGGTTAAAGTAACAACTAGTGCATGCCTAGCAGAAATTTTTTGTGCATTCCAGTGACCCAAAATGTGACACATGCATGACACAAAAAATGACACTGTGATAGCAAGGAAATACAACATACACATATATATTACAGGACACATCACAAGTGAGTGACTTACGCCCAGAAGTCCTCAACAGTGTCAAAAGTGGACACACATCTAAGGTTGGCAGCCCAAGTCTTGGTCTTGTCATTCTTGAAGAACCACAGAGCCCATCTGGAAAATCAAACCAACAAAATAAATCTCCTACATCAAATATCTTTTCAGAGCCATTTTTACCTGACAGGTTAGATGCAGGTAGACATCAGAAAGACTTGTACAGATCCAGTTTTACCTACACTAACCTGCAGGTGGTATTTTAGCCCTGAATAAGGATAACTGGTCCTGCTACTAACCTGTTCTGCAGGGGGTGCTTGATGTACTTCAGGTCGTCTGTGTCCAGCTTGGCTGCGGCTGCTCCAGACGCTTCCTCTTTCTCCTCACCAGCCTCCACTGCGGCTGCTTCTATGGGAGTCTCCTAACAAACAACAAACAGTAAACAGATAAGCAAACAAAAACAAAAACATGTTGCTCATGAGCAGCCTCTACTATGTCTGCTTATATGGAGAGTCTCCTGACAAACACAAATAGCAAACAGTCTTTCACATAAACAATTTAAAACAAAAACCAAAAACAAGATGCTCATGATGAGCTGCTTCTATAATGACTATATTGAGTTTCCAGTTGTATAAAAAACAGTAAACAGATAAACAAACAAGCAAAATGCTTATGACTATGAGTCCAATATGACCAGCCTTCACTGCTTCATCTTCTTTGGGGCTCTTCTGAGGTAATAAACTATCATATAGCGAAAGCCAATAAACTATCATATAGCGAAAGCCAATAAACTATCATATAGCGAAAGCCAATAAACTATCACATAGCGAAAGCTGAGATACATGCACCACAGAGCCAGACTACATGTACTTCAAACATATTCATGAACATTCCATTTCCATCCCATATTGATTTTGGCCTACTCTTTGATAGATGTGCAATAAAACATGACACTGCTTCCATCCACGATTAGAAAGTTGATAGGCTACATGTTTCACTTGGCGATTTATTCAATGGTTATAGGATATGGCCAAGCTTTATGATACCATATAAAATGTACACCTCAGGCGAGTCATTAATTCATGCTCTGATCGACCAGTAACTGGTGACCAGTTGGGTACCGGAGAATGACAGTTTGCTTGGTGGCCTATATTTCTTAGCTATGAATATATTTGACATCACGAAATTTGGCTCCTCTTAATCTAAATCCACCTGTTAGACTTGTCCTTCACTGGAGGCCTACAAAACCTTCCATAAGGCGTAGATCTCGAATAACTTAATCTCATCTACATGCGTGCAAATCATTATCGTGCAAAAGCTGTTGTTAAAATCGTGTTCAGTTATCATGTAAAATGCACCTAGATGTTTGTGTAACCACATGTGATTATGTGTTATAGATAGCCACATGCGATTGCAGCTTAATAGTTTACCTGGCTTTTGGATAAGTTTTAAACGCATATTGCACACTGACAGCTTTGACATGACTCTCGATTGAGATTTAAATATAAAAACCTAAAAATTATTGATTTAAACTGTAGATCTACATTTTGGTATTTCTATAAGTATCATCATTGTTGAGACAACACACACACAAAATACAAATGACAAAATTGCTTTCTAGCTGTACTAATTTTTACCTTTATGAAAACTTTCCTCTTCCAAAAAGGAACAGCACTATTTGGACTATGCAGTGTGACTTGCATACAGCATTTATACTTATAGTCTTAGGTTGAGAATTGTACATTTAAAATTAAATATGTATGGCTCAATTTTGGCTTTAGCCTTGCAATGCAAGATTTGCAGGTGTGTGTATTGTACTTTGAGCAGTATGTACACAACATTTTAAACTTGGTATATAAACAATCAGTCCATTTGAACTTTGGTATCAATCAACCAATAAGTAAGAGAATACTAAGACAATCATGTATACATGTACATAAAAATCAGGGCTGAATTGTTACAGAGCAGACCCAAGTGTTGGCTGTCTGACTCTGAATGCAGCACAGTTTGCTGAACATTGACCTTTTAGTACCCTCAAATATTTCAACAGGGCTTGAAATACTTTTTATGCATACCTACACGGATGCAGGTAAAATTGAAAATTACCTCTGCCCAAGAAAATTGAATTCTTAGGAAGTATGGATCAAAACTGTTCAGGAAATATTGTTATTTATATAGCATATGACTATGATGTGATGGTAACAGTCAGTCAGACAATTCACCATGCATGGCAACAGTCAATGTATACACTATAGCAAATAAAAATCCACATATAGATTATACACGTATGTATAATTATACTATGAACCCAGTACATGGACCAGGGCAGGTAGCATAATTGTAACACTCACACAACTCCAAATTTGTCTGCACTACTCTGCATGTGCAGCAGGTGTTTTTTTACCCTTGTTTAAGTAACAAAGTAACAGTAAACACTTTTGTAAGGGTCCAAAACTCAAGGAGACTCAATGCTGTCACGATAATGATAATCAATGCCCTTTTCATGCAAGCACTTCCAACCATGGAAAACAATGGTTAAAAGCAGGAACAAGGTGACTTCTGATGCTCAAAAACTGTTACCGGTATCTGAATAAATAGGCAGTTTCTACCTTTCTACCATTCTAATTGTAAGGATATCATCACA